CTATAATATCTAGTCATTGTACCTTGTGTGAAATGAACTTTCTTTCACACAAAAACCAATACATGAATGGAGGGAGCAGCTGAGCCTCAGTGTGGACACAGTCCAGAAATAGATGAGTTATTAAGCTATGGTGTATCCACATGATAGGATATTATACTACAATGAAACAAATGAACTACTGCTGCATTAACTTTGCTTGAGAAGATACGAATAAACATCTGTTTATCTCAGACAAGGATGAACAACAGACCAAACCTATTCTATCGAAGCCTAGTTTGGTAAACTAAAGAGTTTATTTACGCTTACTCATGGGAGCATAGGTAAAGGATTTCCTAGAGGAACACTGACAACATACAGGTCTCTACATTACTGAAAAAAGCCACCATCCCACTCCCATAATCATTATTGGCTTATGCATTTTGAGGAGGCTCAGAGACTAGCCTCAGTGTCCAGCGTGCTACCTCATTAGCCCCTTGTGCTAAACACATGAGTTTTTTCTCCTCTTCACAAGGGAATATTAATGGACAATCTCGTGAGGATCTCTTGCTAATGAAGAGGGGACAGAGTTCCACAGCAACCATTAAGAAACATGACAATAGGGAACTCTGAGTGAAAAAGCTAATCCCCAAAGACTTTAAGATCAATTTATAATTAATACTCTCCTAATAATAAAATTTTAGAAATGGAGACCAGATGGGTAGTTTAGGAGTTAGAGAGAGGGGTGGGAGGTAAGAGGTGTGGCCATGAAAATTTAGCAGGAGGCATTGATTGGGGCGGTGGAATTGCTTAGTGTCTTACTGTAGTAGTGGCCACTGTACACAGGCAAAACTGTGTTGTTTTTCATTATCTAAGGGAGCTGGTTCCTTACATCCCAGCTAGTTTCCTCCAAATATCAAAATCCACAGATGATCAAGTCTTTTGTATGAAGTAGTGTAGTGTTTGTGTATAAACTATGCATATCATCTTTTACATCATCTTTAATACCTAATACATCACAAATGTTGTGTAGGTGGTTCTTACACTGTGTTACTCAAGGAATAACAAAGGGAGACTTGTCTATATATGTTCTTTAAAATACAAGCATTGCATTAGTCAGGGATTTCTAAAGGAACAGAACCAATAGAACAGATGTATATGATAGAAAGAGATTTATTAGATTGGTTTACATGGTAGAGACTAGGTAGCCTAAGAATGGCTATCTGCATGCTGGATAGGATGAGAACCTGATAGCCCTTCAGTCCATGAAGGTGTATGCCTCAGAAATCTCAGTTGAAGGCTTTGAGGATTCCTGGAGAACTTCTGGTCTTGCAACCACACTGGAGGACTGGACTTGGGTTCTGATATCTGCAAAAGATGGCAGCAGCAGTGGCAGCAAAAACAAGATAGATGCACTCATGAGCAAGAACAGAAGGAGGCCAGGCAAAGTAGCACTGCTTTTTCCTTGGAGTTCTTTAAATCTGGATGGCTGCTGGAAGGTGCCACACACTGTGGAGGAGGGTCTTCTGTCTTCATCTAACCCTTCCAGGAAATACCCCCATAGACCAGCCTAGAAGAAAGTCTTTTAGATGGTTTCCAGATCTAATCACAGTGACAATTAAGATTACTCACCACAGGACTGGCCAGTTGGCTCAAAAGATAAAGACATTTGCTGCCAAGCCTGATAACTTGAGTTCAGTCCCTGAGATTCACATGGTAGAGCAAAAGAATTGACTTCTATAGAATGTCCTCTGACCTCCACAAGAGCTCCACACATTCATAGCACTTCCACTCCTCACAAAAATAAAAATATGTAACCAGATGCAGAGATTCACAGCGAAGCACTGGGCAGAGCTCTCAAAGTCCGTCGAATAGAGGGAGGACGGATTATACGAGCAAAGGGGTCAAGATCTTGATGGAGAGACCCACAGAGACAGCTGACCTGAGCTAGGGGAGCTCACGGATTCTGGACTGATAGCTGGGGAACGCATAAGACCAGACTAGGCCCTCTGAATGTGAGTGACAGTTCTGTGGCTTGGGCAGTCTGTGGGGCCACTGGCAGTGGGACCAGGATTTATCCCTAGTGCATGAACTGGCTTTTTGGAGCTCATTCCCTATGGAGGGATACCTTGCTCAGCCTTGATGCAGGGGGGAGTGGTTTGTTTGGTCCTGCCTCAATTTGATATACCAGACTTTGTAGACTCTCCATGGGAGGCCTTACCCTTTCTGAGGAGTGGATGGGGGTTGGGCAAGGGGGAAGATGGGGGGAGGAATAAGAGGAGGGGAGAGAGGGGGAACTGGGATAAATAAAAAAATTAAAAATAAGATTGACCATCACACGCACTGTAGTCTTAACTTCTTGGAACATAATACAAATTTGGTTGAGTAGATGGATGCAGAATAAATGGATACCAGGGATGAGCTGTGTTGATACTTTGGGTCAGCTGGGCTGTACTTTGTAGGATGTTCAGCGACAGAGTTATTCTTTAATTACCAAATACCAATAGTGCAGTTCCGGTTGTTACAGTAAAAAAAATCTTCAGGCACTGTCAAATGTCCTCTGGCTTACAAAAATCTCCCATGGTTGAGAATTACTGTGCTAGACTAACACACGCCCCCTCTGGCTAATGCAATCTCATGCTGTCCAGACCCTGTGCTGACTGCACATTCCCCTAAGGCCACTGGGAAAATAACAACAATGAATGACCCTCACTGTGAGCAGTCTTCCATACTTTCAAACCAACAAGTAAAATTTCCTTTTCCCCCCTCTGTCTGTTATGAGATGTATCGTGTCCCTCTATTAATTTATATGTTGAAGTGTTAGACTTCATTGCCTCAAAATTGAGTCTTTACAAAAGAGAGTTGACGGCTAGTTCAGCTGGTAGAGTATTTGCCTTGCATACAAAATATTCTGGGTTTGATCCTCAGGACCACATAAACAGGCCGTAGTAGTCCTAACCTGAGCACTCCGGAGGTAGAGGAAGGAGCATAGAAACTCAAAGTAATTCTCAGCTATGTAATGACTTGTAGGCCAGCCCTGGGCTACAAGAGACCCTGTCTCAAAACAAAAACAAAACCAAGGAATAAGCCCAAAGCCACAAAACAAATTAAAAACTTTAAAAAATACATACAATGAAAAAGTAATTGTAAAGAGGATGCTTTTTTATTTTTAATCATTTCACTTATTAATATTTTTTAAATGTGTGAGCATGTATATCATGTTGGGGTCAGAGGTCAACTTGCAGGACTTGGCTCTTTTCTCCCACGGTGTGTACCTGGATGATTGATTCAGGAAGACAGACTTGGGGGCAAGTACCTTTACCTACCAAGCCAGGTTGCTGGCTGTGAAACAGGGTCTTTAGTAAAATAATTAAGGTAAAATGAGGTCATTAAGGTAGTCCCTAATCAAATATAACCAATGTCCTTACAACAGGAATTTGAAACACAAGCACACATAGAGGAAGGATATCATGAGAAGATGCAAGGTAACATTTACAAGCAAAGGAGACAGGCCTCAGAAGAAATCAACCCTTGATCTGGAGTTTCCAGATTCTAGAATAGTAATAAAGTTTGTTTGTGTAAGCGACACAGTTTGTTTTTCATCTCAGGTATTTTGTAAATATTTTCTTTACTATTTTCTGCATTTTCAGGCCCTAAACATACTGGTTTTATTTATTTACTTCGTAGAGTTGGGGATCAGACCCAGAGCCTCACCCATTAGACAAGTGATCTACCACTAAGCCACATCCCAACACATCCAATACATATTTGATGTCTATGATTTTTTTTCTATTGTTACATTCCTTACTGGACAGTGATCATTGGTATGACATGAGGTGTCAGAGATACAGGACAAATCAGACAGATTTCCCCTAAGTATCAGTTTTTGTCTGCAAGCTTTAAAGTGCTGAATTATTTATCCTTACATTACAACATATTTTCATAAAAATTCAATCTTTAAAGACCATCTAGACTTCAGACAATTTTTGCTTCAATGAATATGTTTCTCCAACTTCTGGGTCTCGTTTTCCATAGAGAATGCACCAGAGAAAAGGCAAAAAACATTAAACCAGACAAGCCTATGTATAAAGTGTGGAAAGTTTCTGAGGAGTCTGGGCACCTAGTCTTGGGACTCCAGATTTGCACCATATTCTTCACACCTTGCATGTTCTATTGGGCACTGTCTTGGTAGCTCAGTTTGAACCTGGAAAGACGATTTGAGGCTATTTATCGGAGAAACAAACAGGGCAGTGGGGGCCAGTGTGTTTTTCCCTTACTCTTCCATATCTGAGTCCTTTGCCAGACCCCTTTCTCAGTCAATGTGACACAAATCTATCAAACGGAAGCAAATTCAGCAGACACAGCCGTCACCCCACCTCTTGACATTGGTCACGTACAGGTTTACTGACCTGTGCATTTTTGTCAATTGTTTCCTTATGCAGGAAGTCGGGTGGGGCCAGAAACTTGACTGCTGAGAACTGCCAGCCCTCAAAGTAAATACTGTTTTGAATGGAGTTACTGGGAACCTCCAAACTGGTTCTAAACTTTAGGAAAGTACCAGAAGACTCAGATAGCCAGGTTGCGGTTAAGGTTGGTCATCCCCCGCATCTGTAACCCCACTTAGGAGCCTTGAAACGCTAGTCAAGTAATGTAAAGCTGACTTCTCACAAAGACACAGCAGCAGGGTTTCAGAAATTATTTAATAAAGTCGGTGACCCCAGGCTTGTGATGCCTGGATTTGGAATTCAGAGTTTTTTTCCTACCGAAAAGGTCAGCTCGTCACTCCTCCCGGAATCAACGGGCGATATCGGGAATCCTGGAGACTAAGGCCCAGGCAGACAGCACCCTCTACCCGGTCGCAGTCCGGCATCCTTCCTCTTTCTGGAGCCCGGCGCCCTCAGGCCCCGCCTCCCAGGGAGGCGTGGCTCAGCATGGAGACCCCGGTGGGGGCGGGGCCGCAGGGGGCGCCGCTGACGCGTCGCTGCTAGGACGAGTGACGCGGCGCCAGCCAGGCCTCAGCCCGGCTCCCGCCGCCCGCCCCGGCTGGGCCGGCCCGCCCCTCGCTCCACGCCCGGCCTCCCGCGCGCCCTGTCAGACTGTGGCGGCCGCTGCAGCTCCGTGAGGCGACTGGCGCGCTCACCCACGTCTCTGCCGGCCCGCCGCCCGTCCCACTCCGCCTTCCTCTCCGCTGCCCGCTCACCCGCCCGCGGCGACATGGCTCACGCGCCCGCTAGCTGCCCGATCTCCCGGATCTCCGGGGACAGCGAGATGGGCAAGCCCAGGAAGGTGGCGCTCATCACGGGCATCACTGGCCAGGTGAGTGCGGGGAGGGGACGAGCGGCCTGTGGCCTCGGGGCACGTGGGCCGCGTCCCCGCGCAGGGCGGCCGAGGCACGGGGAACTGCGCTCGGCGCGTCCCGGAAGGTGTGTGCGGCCGCGGGGGTGAGCCGGCTTCAGCCCGGGCAGCGTGGTTGTGAGCTCTTGTTGCGCACAGGACCGCTCTGTCTCACCTGTCCTCTGGGTGACTGTGGTGTTTCTTCCACGGAGCCCAAGAGAGGGCTTGGAAGGAATATCGTACTTTGCAGAGCCTGGTGCCAGGAAAGAAAAGAGCCAGTGTGATCTGTCAATGTGCGTGGAGTCACTTCGCTCACCCTCCCTCACCTGCTCATCTGCCCTGTTTGGGACACCAGCGGCTGCTGTGGTTTGGTTACCCCTTACCAGCAGAGTTCCGGGTGGAGAAGAGATAATAGGAGTTACAGATCATTTTTTATTCGTCATGTTTACACCCTTTGCCCTCCTCCATACAAACTTGTGAGAGTCATGTTTTCACACATTTTGGGGGCGTATCTTGACAGACTGGTACCAAAGTTTCTAATTCTAGAGACTAGCGTTTCTAATTCCAAAGACATGAACTCCTTGGGCGAGGTAATTAGGTTGTGCTGCCTTGAATGTTGGGAGTCATGTGGAATGCTGAACATGGCTAATTTATGATAGTTATCTCCTAGAGGTGTTGCAACAGGTAGGGCCAACCACTGCCTTATCAATCAGCGCAGTGTGAGATTCAACGGTGTGGAAGTAATGTCTTCCGATGGCGGTCGAAGTAATACTAAAACAAAGATGATAATAATAGCTAATAGGCTACATACATATTACATATACACACACATACATACATACATACAAAGATGATAATAACAGCTAATAGGCTACATACATATTACATATACATACATACATCTACATACTTGTTATATCGCCCTCACTTGGTTAACACTCAGTATTAGTTTCCACAACAAAGTCCTTATTTCCATTTTTAGATGTACAATTTGAGGCCTAGGAGTTGGAATTTTCTGAGGCCCAACAGGTAAGAAGTGTCTTGTTGGGACTGTACCTGGTCTCAAAGGTCTCTAGTATTACAAGGGAGCAGATACACAGTCCCCTAACATTAGACTGTTTCAATACTGGATACTCATTATTTTTTCAGTTCTTATTTCGTCCCATTTAAAGTACTTACAATGAATAAATGTTTAGTAAGATAGAAGGGTGGGAAAGGATCAAAGGTTGAGGAAGAAAACCAAGTCTGGGGACACCCCCCCCCCAAGAGATGCTCTGCTCTTGAACTGTCCCTGGAGATGCCCTCTCTCTTTTTTAATGCTAGAGATCTCTTGCAGATGGTCCTCTTTCCTCAAGTTCTCAGACTGATGCTTAAGTATGGATATTGAAGCTCAGTTGCTTATTACATTCAGTAGACTGTTTTAGCATTGTTAATATGCTGTGTGCCATATTAGTATAGCTTATATCAGTTTAAGTGGCCAGCATTTTGAATCAGTGCAGCATAGAAGTGGAATCCTATTAATAGTTGAAAACTGTTGTTTGGTAGATTCTTCATGGAGAGGAAGGCTTGGCAGTCGTGTCCTGTGATCCCATCCTCACCCCCCACCCCCAAGCAAGCGTTGTCCCAAAGCGCTATGTTCAATATATCACTTCCTGACCAGAGTTTTTGGTTTCTCACTTCATTTCAAACTCCAAACACCTGCTTTGCTCTCAGTTTCGAAAATCAGATCCTTCTGAGTTCTGTTCTACTGCCCATCACTCCCTGCCACATATCTCTGCATTTTATTTTTCTTGCTTGCTTGCTGGTATTGCCTAGGCGTCCTGGCGTACCTGCAGCACTATACTAAATTCTGTAGCTGCCGCTTTTTGCTGATGAACTGAATTGCTCTTCTGTTCCTTTGGCATATTTTCTAGGAGAGTAACTCTCACCTTGGGTTCCAAGGAGTCTCGAAGGACTGTGACATTATTCCAAGGATCCATACCTTATTGTACATCTTCTTAATAATATTGGCTGGGAACTTATTGAGCTACCCCACTCTTGTAGGCATTCTATATATCCTCATCCAAGAGACAGGAGTGCTTGTATTTGACTGGTTTGCTGGTACTGAGTCCAGGAAGACTTGGAAGTAGTGTTTCTATGTTCCCTCCTCAGTAGTTTCTCCTGGGGTTTTATACCTAATCAAGTGAGATTCTGTCCTTTTGGTCATATACCCAATGAACATGAGAGCTGAACTCTTCCAGAGACACTCCATTGCTCTAAGCTACCTTGTTATATTATCTTTAGTAGGCCACATACATTTACATTTTGTGGGGTTGTATGTGGTAGTTAAGTCAAGTGGCCCTGCCCTGGCACTTAGGGTTTCATGTGAAGGTCTTGAATGGGTCCCAGATTCCTACTTGAGAGTAATGCGGACAGGCAAGGTGTCTTGTTGGCTCTCTACTTGGAGTCTTACTCTCCAGCTTCTTACGCTAGCTCTCCCCTACTGTCTATTCTTGACTCAGTTATAGCTATGTCTCCTTTTCCAAGGTATGTACCTTATTGTATAACCTTCAGAGAAAGCCACTCTCTGGGTTTTGCATTGCTGTGCAGGCTCCCTGCCAGCCATTTCCAAAGCTTGCCACCATTGTCTAGCAATGTTTTCTGTCCTCGATTGTGCTCAAGGAAATGATCTTGCTGTTCTTTGAGTATCATTGCTTTCTACCTCATTGGAGCCATTATTTGAAGGTGAATGAGTAAGTTCTACTCTTTTTTTTTTAATCTTAACTCGATGCTTCAATGTTCTCACATTAATCCTGCAAACTAGAGCCACATAAGGAACTTTCTTACTACATACTTATTCCTGTTGGTTCTGTAGATAATTTACATATTTCTGCCTGTAAACAGCTTTAAGGCAGAAATCTCATTTCCACACTATTACCGCTCACGTGGCTTTTAGTGTGCCCTGAAAAATTATTGACTTACTTTCCCTATTAACAGAACACATCTTCACTGTGTGTCTGCACTATGCAGGTTTGTTTTGAGGCCACTGGTGGTACAAAGGTCTGTAAGTTATATCCTGTACCTACAAAGGTTTTTGAGGGGTAGAATACAATGCACATGAGAAGACAGCACCCATAAAACCCAAGATTATAAGGGAATTTACAATATGAGTGAGTACTCCCTTGTGATGCAAGCTAGAGTTGTCTGGGAAGAGGAACCTCAGCTGAGAAAATGCCTCCATCAGATTGCTTACAGTAAGTCTATAAGGGGTTTTCTTGACTGATGATTGGTGTGGGCAGGCCGTAGGCACCGTGAGAGCGGTGCTGCCCGTGGGTCAGGAGGTCCTGAGTTGTATAAGAAGGCAGGCTAAGCAAGAAAGAAGATTAAGTATTCCCCCATGGCTTCTGCTTCAGTTTCTGCCACTAGGTTCCTGCCCTGACTCCCCTCAGTGATGGGCTATGGCCTGAATATTGTAAGATGAAATAAATCCTCTCCTCCCCAAGTTGCTTTTGGTCATGGTGTTAATCACAGCAATATAATCCCTAACTAAGACATCCCTCCAGCCGTTCAGGAGAAGGCCTTGAATACTAGAGGTAGAGGACACTAGGTAAGCAGTAGATGCAGATGTGTAGAAAGGGGAGTTGGGGACAGTTGGTATGTTTCCAAAAAAATTTCACCACTTATAAAATTACACAATTTCTAAAAAAGATTTCTTTATTTTTCTTTTCTCTTTTAATTTTTGGTATAGTGGGTAGAACCCAAGGCCTTTTGCAGTAGCACAGACTTTATTACTAAACTGCTCTGCCCTGTCACTTTCAAAAATATTTTGAGGTGATTTCAATAAAATCTACATCATTGGCCCCATCAGGCAAAAGGATGAACTGAGGCTGCAGGTTGGTTCTAATGGTACGTGGTTAGTAGGCATGAAGCCCTGGCTTTAATCTTGTGCATTGAAAATAAACAAATAAGCACCTTTAGAATCAAATAAAAAGACTAGGAACTTCCAGGAGGATGACGCAAATAATATGCCTAATCCAGGCTTGAGGACAGTTGCAAAATTTATCTTTGAGCTTTTTGAAAGTCACTTCAGAACTGATAGGCAAGTGATCTGATGATATCATATTCTTAGTTTGTTTCCTCTTCAAAGTCTGTTGCTTCCAGGCTGACCCCAAACTCTTATGTTGTCCTGCTGCAGCCCCACTGGCAGTGTTGTGACTACAGGCATGTGCTACAATGTCTGGCATAGTAGACAATCTTTTATTTATTTAATTAAGATTATTTATTATTATTTTATGTTCTTGTATGATTTTCATGTACACTACATATGTTCAGGAGCTACAGAGGCCAGAGAAGGCATTAGATGCCCTGGGACCTAGAGTTATAAGTGATTGCAAGACCCCATGTGGGTGTTAGAACTGCAGGAGCAGTAACATTGAGTCACCTTTTCTTAACTCATAGTAGCTTTTAGAAGAAGATAGAAATGCCTTCTTACAAGACTCTTTATAACTCTCGAAGGGACAGTAAAAGCACTTTTTGCTTGAGACTTAGAGGAATGAGTGGCTCAGATATATGTAGATTATCCCCTTTCAAATGTCTGTTGTCTTAGGCAGTTCCCTGCCAGAGAGCAGCAAGTAGAGCATTACTATGTTGTTCTTGGGGAGAGATAGCCTTATCCTATGAATAGCAGCCTGATTAATAGTAATTCTATTATTGGTGTTTAAATATAAAAGCATTGACATGCTGAGGTTCCTTATGCGTAGTAGCAAGCCTCTGAGAGTTTAAGGAGGTGATTGAAGTCTGGCTAAGCCTTGAGAGGAATACTAATTCAAGGTTCCAGAAATCCATATTGTGAAGCACTGAAGACAGAACATGTGTCTCAGCTACTTTTCTATTGTGATAAAACACTATGACCAAAGCATCATAAGAAAGCATTTAATCTGGGTCTTATAGCTTCAGAGGGTCAGAGTCCATGGTGGCAGAGTAAAGACATGGTGGCAGGAACA